ATATTAATTCAGGAAAACTTGGCTTATTAGGCAAATCGGGCCTTGCATAGTAGGCTGAGTACGACGTTCTGGCTACTAGGTACGACATGTATATATATATATATATATATATATATATATATATATATATATATATATATATATATATATATACATAGACCGAATTCACTAATAAATTTGTAACTAGGTTCCTAATTATTTATTAGGTAAGCGGAAAAAATTATTCCATATACGGTAATAAAGAGTCTAAATTAAAGGAAGTAAAATAAAACTTAATTAACATAAACATTACGAGAAAAATTCAAGATGTTTTAAAATGTGAGAGAACGTGAAATGCAAAAATCTGAGTTAATTCCTCACTCCTGCCATTACCATTCTTTAATTTGGTCGCTCTCTCCTGCCTCCGCCATCTCCCTCTTAATGAACTGTCTGACGCCTCAAGCATAGCTGGACGGAGGTTTGGAGCCACGTGTGGGAGGAAGGCTTGGGTGTGGGTGTTGGGGCCACTTGTGGGAGGATGGCTTGGAGGCATGTTTTGATGCCCATAGTGGGAAGAAGGTTTCGATATGGGAACTGAAGCCAGTTGTGGGAATGCCTAGTATTTAGGTGTTGGAGCCAGCTGTCGGAGGTAGGCTTGGGTATGGGTGCTGAAACCAGTTACATATGGGTTTGGAGGCGAGTGTTTTACGGAGGTTCAGCCTGTATTCCCCTATTCCCTCATATAAGAGTTATGATTCCCTCTCTGATAACCAGAAAATAACCAGAATGAGTTTAGCTGATATTACAACACTTAAAGGGAAGCAAGATGCTGCAGTTATAAGCAATTTCGATTTTCAGATTATCTGGGCAGAGGCTAGGAGACGCGTCCATCATCAATATGGCGGTGCAGCTCGCGAAACATGTGAGCTTTCCCGCTGGAGGCGACCCCCCAGTGCATGCTGGGTACAGCGTTAGGTGTGGCGCGATTGGTCGGCGGCGGGAGCTAGGACAGGCTGACCAATGGCGTCGATCAATGGGCATGATGTAGCATGACGTCAGGCGCCCCTGCAAGGAAGGCGGAAATCTGACTCACTGGCAACCAAGGGGCCTGCTGAGCGGGGGTGCGCTCAAGCGATTATCCGTTCTGGAGAGGTATAGGCCTCCAGAAGTAAATTCTATCAGCTACCTTGTACTAACGAAGAGGAAGGCCTGTCGACTCCCAGGGAGTATGAGGTCGAGCTGGAGGGTGTGAAATAGCACCCAAGGCTCGGTGACGACGGCGCTCCTGGGTAACTTCGAGAGGCGGCGCTGAGGTGGTTGTAGGACAACCCGCGGGCTGTGCACGATGGCAGAGCTTTGTTTAAAATATTTGGTAGCAATCCAGGTCGGGTGCAGCTCCACAACTGCTTACATGGGAGAAGAATTCACTCGACGAAGCTATGCGTGAGGCGGTGGACCAGTACGTGGAATTGTATTAGTCTGGGTAGGCCAGGCGACATCAGTTGGAGCTTCATGGAGCGAGCGGCTCCAAGGGAGGAGTCATTTACCAACAAGAGGACGTCTCAACGTCGTGGGCGTGCTTCGTTGTGCGCCTACAGTCGCTCTAGTAGCAGTTGATGTACCCTTTCATTTTCCCCCTTTGTGTTTAGGAAGAGTGTTATATACAAATAAAGTGATTATCAGAAATTCCGTGAGGAGTGACATCGGACATAAAGCAGCATTGTTATTAATTATTGTTTACCGGCGATTATGTTTTCACGAGATCATTAAGTGGTGATTTAAAGGCAACGTTTTTGGAAAGGCGTTTTAATTATAATACAATATTATATATATTTTATATATATATATATATATATATATATATATATATATATATATATATATATATATATATATGCGAACAAGCCTGAATGGTCCCCAGGACTATATGCAACTGAAAACTCACACCCCAGAAGTGACTCAAACCCATACTGCCAGGAGCAACGCAACTGGTATGTACATGACGCCTTAATCGGCTTGACCATCACGACTGGACATAAGGAAGTGATAGCCGAAGCTATTTGAACCCCCCCCCCCGCCGGCACCTGGATGGTAATCTTGGGCATAGCATTTTATCAAATCACCTCATTCCTCACGTGTGCCCCAAAGAATATGCGGTCATATTCAATGAGACATGTTAAAAAGAAAACTGCTGCCAGTATACACCAATATATATTATATAAAAATATATATATATATATATATATATATATATATATATATATATATATATATATATATATATATATATATATATATATATGTCGTACCTAGTAGCCAGAACGCACTTCTCGGCCTACTATGCAAGGCCCGATTTGCCTAAAAAGCCAAGTTTTCCTGAATTAATATATTTTCTCTAATTTTTTCTTATGAAATGATAAAGCTACCCATTTCATTATGTATGAGGTCAATTTTTTTTATTGGAGTTAAAATTAACGTAGATATATGACCGAACCTAACCAACCCTACCTAACCTAACCTAACCTATCTTTATAGGTTAGGTTAGGTAGCCGAAAACGTTAGGTTAGGTAGGTTAGGTAGTCGAAAAAACAATTCATAAAAACTTGGCTTACTAGGCAAATTGGGCCTTGCATAGTAGGCAGAGAAGTGCGTTCTGGCTACTAGGTACGATATATATATATATATATATATATATATATATATATATATATATATATATATATATATATATATATATATATATATATATATATATATATATGCGGAAAATCCACAGAGAAATGTGAAAGGATTGAGTTTGGTGTTGACAACAGCTTTAATCAGGCCAAAACGTTCACTTCCTTTCACATTTCTCTGTGGATTTTCCGCATAAAAATGATCAGTGTTCTGTGATCGTCAATTGCATATTATATATATATATATATATATATATATATATATATATATATATATATATATATATATATATATATGTGTGTGTGTGTGTGTGTGTGTGTGTGTGTGTGTGTGTGTGTGTGTGTGTGTGTGTAAGTAATTTAGAAGATACCAGGTTATATCTGTAATTAAACACATTACTGTGGTCAATTACATCTAGGAGAGTTCTGTCGTCGTTTTACTGTCTCTTAGTTTACTCTAAAAGTCTAATGCCAAGGCCGCGTTAATTACTCTAAAAGTAATTAATGCGACCTGGGGTAATGACCATGAACTTATGGCTCTAAGTAATATCTCTAACTCACTACAGAAGTATTCCTAAGTACAGACACTACTTCATAACTCATTATATGCACTTATTTACAGGGACCTAATAGATATCGATCAGTTTTCCCAATTTTATAATAATATACGCATGGTCTACTTTAATTTTATAATTAGTAAATAAATATAAATTTATATATTAATTTTTGAGGAGAGGGACGGGAGTGAAAATGGGAGAAGAGGCCAGGTCTATTTTTTATTTACTTTAGTAAATCGGAATTTGTAATACATTTATCTTTTATCTACATATATTATTTAATAGTTTTGTTAAAACAATTTTTGTTCATCATTAGTATTCTGTAGTCGGTATGGAGGGGAAACTACAATTTTGTTAGTCATTGTATCGCAATCTTTTTAGATATAATTTTGTTAGAAAAATATTTTTTATGGATATTCCGAATACTTTTTTATAATATTTAATCAAGGCTCATAATGGGTAAATTGGCTTTTTGTGAACTACTATGGCCAAACTTTAGAGCCAAGAAGTATTATATTTTTTTTCGAACTCACCACAGTCTCACTTATTAGTTCATATACTAAAATTATTTCTTGAATTTTGTAAACAAAAATTGTGGGAGACTCTAAATAAATGTTGCAGTTGTGCATGTGTTGCCCCAACACATTGACATCGTGGCTCAAAGTGAACTCAAATGGTGTGAATCCTAGTGGAGGTGAATGACATACCGAGGTGCTCTGTCCAAATGATTTTTCACGATGATTTAGTTACACCCCCAGACATTCACATCTGTTGTATATTTTACTTCTAACAATGGCATTCCCCTAAAACCTTTACTTCTAACCATGTTATTTTCCTAAAACTTTTACTTGTAACCAGGTCATTCCCCCAAAACAATGTCAACATAGGGACTGCTAAGGTTTGACTAATCCTTTTATCAACTCTAACTGTACCTTCCATTCTGATCCTCTGTTAAATCAAGGCTATGTATTAACTCCAGTTTGTGCAGCATTAGTTTTTCCAACACCTTCCAACAGGAGACATCCCCCAATCCTCTTGGTACCCGAGTTAAAGACAATGCCAGACATCCTTCGAGGTGTTGAGTCCCCTCCAGCTGTTGCATCTTGGCAGGTGAGTGATATTCCTTCGTCTCAACCGAACCAGTTTACCAACTAGGACGAGGAGGAGAAGGAGAGTATGGACAAAATTACACAGGACTTTCCCCCTATGTAAGAAGTATAGGGGTGCGACCTATAAAAAATTGTTTCTCCTTCACGTGAAACTCAACCTTTCGATTATTTAACATTTGAACTACATCTAAATGTGAACAAAATATAAAATTTAGGCCTTTGATAATGAAATGTTTACAAAATTTCCTAAAGCTGGTGATTAATTAGCGAATTCACAAGACACACTCTAAAGGATACGCAAATATCACCTAGTGGATCATCGTCATCATCAGAGTACGATCAATGATGGGAGGATGATCCATATATATTATACTTAACTGGCGCCGAATCCCCCCCCCCCCACCAAAAAATAGATACGTTATCTTGGAGGCTATTTGAGAAAATGCACTATATGTATGCATACTTAAAGTTGAGTGTGCTGTAATACACCTGTAAAATATGTGTCTACTCTTGTAAAAAAAAATACTCAATATTAATGAATGTTATGTGTGATGTAAATATTAATACAACACTGTAAATTATCTATTTTTTGTTTGTGCCCGAGAGGTTGTATTTAAATGACAATAAAATATATTTTTTCTTAATATAATTACAGAATATATACAACTGTCTTGCCTGGGTTGGGATGGGTTGAGTTAGGATAGGTTGGGTTGGGTTGGTTTGGATTGGGTTGGGTGGGTGGTTTGGTTTGGATTGGGTGGGTGGGTGGGTTGGGTTGGGTTGGGTGGGTGGGGGGGTTGGGTTGGTTGGGTGGGTGGGTTGGTGGGTGGGTTTGGGTTGGGTGGGTGGGTGGGTGGGTTGGGTTGGACGAACTTTTCCCTTTTTTTAACGATTGAAGATAATATATAAATAGGAAGAATTCAATTGTTCCAAATTCTTCCCATTGAGTATATTGGCGCCTGGGACTTCGTGTGCACTTTATGCTGTATGTTTGTATGTATGGTGATAAATGATTGTATCTCAGCTTTTAATAATAATTTATTTAAATGTGACATGCACCCTGTTTTAACCAAGGTAACAGTCATTAGATGGGGACTTTTATACATCCATGCATCTCTTTATCTGTATATCTGTATATCCTTCCATCCATCTATCCACCAGTCTATCCAACTATCAATTCATCTGTTTATTGATCCTTCATCTATCTATCCATCCACCAAACCGCTAGTAAACCCCTTATCTACTAGCTAACCCATTATAATTAACTAGATAATGGGTTATCTACCAACCCTGTTTATTGATGGCTCATTTATTTCTTGTCAATTTACAGCCTAGTGTCTTCTTCAGGACAACTGTCTATTAGCAGCGGTATATTCACTGCCAGTCCACTGTCTATCGGCAGCCCACGGACTACTGGCAGCTGATTCTCATCTGGCTACACAGAGTCTACTGGCAAATGAAGCCTACTGTCTAATGACAGTAAACAATCTACTGGCAACTGAAGCTTACTCTCTACTAACAGTCTACTGGGAACTGAAGCTCACTGTCTACTGACAGTCTACTTGCAACTGAGGCATACTTTCTACTGACAGTCAACAGTCTACTGGCAACTGAAGCGTACAGCTACTGACAGTCAACAGTCCACTAAAGCATACTGTCTACTGACAGTCTACTGGCAACTGAAGCTTACTTTCTACTGGCAGTCAACAGTCTACTGGCAACTGCAGCATACTGTCTACTGACAGTCTACTGGCAAGTGAAGCATACTGTCTACTAACAGTCAACAGTCTACTGGCAACTGAAGCATACTGTCTACTAACAGTCTACTGGCAACTGAAGCATACTGTCTACTAACAGTCTACTGGCAACTGAAGCATACTGTCTACTAACAGTCTACTGGCAAGTGAAGCATACTGTCTACTAACAGTCAACAGTCTACTGGCAAGTGAAGCATACTGTCTACTGACAGTCAACAGTCTACTGGCAAGTGAAGCATACTGTCTACTACTGCAGTGAAGCATACTGTCTACTAACAGTCTACTGGCAACTGAAGCATACTGTCTACTAACAGTCTACTGGCAAGTGAAGCATACTGTCTACTAACAGTCTACTGGCAAGTGAAGCATACTGTCTACTAACAGTCTACTGGCAAGTGAAGCATACTGTCTACTAACAGTCAACAGTCTACTGGCAAGTGAAGCATATTGTCTACAGTCTACTGGCAGTCTAACAGTCTACTGGCAAGTGAAGCATACTGTCTACTAACAGTCTACTGGCAAGTGAAGCATACTGTCTACTAACAGTCTACTGGCAAGCTGAAGCTCACTGGCTACTAAGAGTCTACTGGCAACTGAAGCATACTGTCTAACTGGCAAGTGAAGCATACCGTCTACTAACAGTCTACTGGCAAGTGAAGCTTACTCTCTACTAACAGTCTACTGGGAACTGAAGCTCACTGTCTACTCAACAGTCTACTGGCAAGTGAAGCATACTGTCTACTGACAGTCAACAGTCTACTGGAGTGAAGCATACTGTCTACTGACAGTCAACAGTCTACTGGCAGAGAGAGAGCGTGTCTGAGGGCGAGAAATAGAATGACTTGGTCTGACAAATTGAGATTTTGTCCCTGGAAGATATAATTTGGATGATTTGCAATATATGTCCAGATCACGAATTCATTTCACCCTTGTGTAGATGAATTACAGGATTGTGCTCAGCTTTCTGGAGGAGGGAGGACGGGTCCGGCTGATGGGGGGGGGGGGGGGGGGGGGGTAAGCTATATTGACTCCAGCACAGGCCAGGACTCTCGTGTCGGTCTGTACTTGTTTGTTCTTGTTTGTTTGTTACTCCCATTGTTTTAATTATATATAATTTCTAAATGTAGTGGGTTATTAAGGGATCACCGAGAGTGAACTTCACCTAGCAACAAGTTGATCTGATCAGCCTTAACACCGTACAGTGTCACGTCACTAAACGTTGGCAAGCCAGCTCATTTCAACTCTTTGTAGATTTAAATTAATAACATTATATGTTCTCTAAATTCTCTCTTGGTTCATTAGTTTAATATTAGTCAAATTAGATAAATAGATTTATAATTGACAAGTATTCATTAATCGGCATCCACCCCCTGATCTGGCAGGGCAGGGAGGGTGGAGACTCCATTATAGGCCCGGCCCCAACCTCAACAACACTTGCTATTGGCTGATTAGCAAAAGCAATTAGTTGGACATTTAAAGTAAGAACAACAGTGTGTATAGTGATTAACTAATGACTGACTGAGTGGAGAATACATAAGACTCCCAGCAGGAGTCCAGCGCTCCCTCACAGCTGGTAATACCAAAATATTGCACACAGGAGAAGAGTTGGTTGGGCCTGGTACAACCAGACTAGGGGCGTCTGGACTTCCATTGACACACCCTTTTCCTGGTCCATTGGTATACTTATTGAAACGAACATTGTCCACTTTCCCATATTGGTGCAGTATGTGAATAATAGTTCCATTCAACATTTCAAATGGCGCATCCTTCACAGAAACGTATGTAAACGTTTTGCTCAAATTTATCACTTGTACTGATCCTTTCCCATTAGGCAAACTGATAATGTCATCATCATACTTCTTTAGAAACTCTGAAAACGCCACATTGTTTTCAAATTTCCCCACCACCACTGTTCCCTGGCAGTGATTGGTAACCAAATATTTCGTCCATCTTTATCTGTAACACATCGAAGATCGTCGTACAGACAAGGTCATAATCAGTGTTACTTGAGTCCTACGGACTCCTTCCGCTTGAGTGGAGGTGTGTAGGAGCCCATGACGGCACATATACCACCCCCAACGTGACGCTATCCGCCCATCAGTCAACACGCCGGCCAACAGCGACGACTTTTTTTTTTATTATTAATACATGAGGTACATCTGCATTAGTGCAGCTACCCTAGACAATATGAAGTGAAGTACAGTGTGTCAAAAAAGCTAACTACATGATGCTAAAAAAAATCCCCATCACACAGGATGGTTAGTCATACAGAGGCATGTGTCATAGGCAGTCTGCACTGGCAGACTCCGGATGCATTTTGAGGATATCATCAACACAAGAGTGAGTAAGGCAGCAGTGGTAATAAAAGTCCCCATCTCGCAGGATGGTTAGTTACACAGCGCCATAGCGCCATATGTTCAGTAGCCTGCACTGGCAAATTTTGGGTACACTGTGAGGATATCTTCAAGAATACGAGAGTGAATAAAGTAATTGCAAAGCTCCAGGTACCTCATGCCAACTGGTCTGAAAGGTCTAATAACTGGGCATTCAGTGATGTAGTGCGGGAGATCGTGCTGTAGTTCCTGCTCACAGAGTTTGCACCTGGAGTGCTCAGGATTGGGAGATCCGTCACCTGCAGCCACCTGCCACAGGTAACGGTAACCCAACCTGATCCTTGCAACCACTGTGTCGCACAGCCGAGTGGACGTTTTGTGATACCTATAAACATAGGTTTCAGATCTGAACAAATCATAGCTTTTTATACTAGTACTTTCAGGTCGTTAGGAGTCAGTAATTACTTTCCTATCAGACATGAGTGTTTGGACCAATACAGTTTTGACAGCAGAGATGGGGATACCTAGGAATATCAGACAGGTAGAGTGCACTTAAAAGGAATGTTAAGTTTAATGAGATTGTAGGCATTGTTGCTCAGCCATTTATCATAAAAGGAGTGAGTTGGTATGTCGGCACCAGTCAATAGGGTGTTAACAGCACTAAATAATTTGTCTCTGAGCAATGCAGGAGATGTAGGGTCTCTCATGACTTTAAGGCAAAAGGTAGTGTTGACTTGCATTATTCTCTAGTATGGTTGGAAGCTTCAGTTCTTCCCTCATGTTGATGATTCTTGTGCATCTCAGGGCACCAAGAATTATCCTCATGGCTTCATTCTGTACTACTTCAAGTTTATCCAACACAGAGGAGGGGAATTTAATTAAGTGCAAAGTATTATAATCAGCAAGAGATCTAACAAACATCATATAGAATAGTCTAGCAGCGATGACAAACACGTCCACCCACTAGACGCCAGTAGCAGAAACAGAACACGTCTGCTCACCACCACGTCCACGACACGACTCCTAAAAATTTTGTGAGGATTATGGGATGTCATTGGTAAAGACTTTGTGCAAGTGGTGCAGTATAGCATACAGCAATTCGTCAAATTTGAATATTCAATCTGTCAACTTATCGAAGCAGTGCTCTGTTGCACTAGGTAAAAATTCATGGAATTATTTCCAGCTGTGGAGTTCTCCTCAGGTTGGTGGAAGACGCAGACACCATTACAGAACCTGTATGCTACTTGTCCCTTCAGGAAGTTTAGGCTACGACAGAGGACGACATAAATGAATCCAGTTAAGCCATAAACTTTGTTAACTCATTGATAAATAACTCATATTTAACTGAGCAATCATATTTAGTTGAGTAATTGAGTATTATTCCTACGCCTTGCACATAAATTAATATCACTAGTCCTTTACCTCCTCATACTTGGTTGATTCGTATATGTTTAGTACTTGTGAACCAGATGAATGGTTAAGAACTGACCTATAGATTAGTTTACCTCAAGGATTAGGTAAATTAGGATTAGTAGGGTAGAGAGAATTCCTCCACATTTTTGAGATTTTGATGGCATTACTAGATACGACTTGTGAGTACAGCCCGTTGTCTAGTCTTGTCCTCCCATTAAAATGATGTCCTAAACTACCCGACCTAATCTATCCCAAACGAACCGATTAAACAAAGCACAGAAAAAGTGATTATTTGAGCTGCTATGATTGAGCTCCTCAGACCAATTCCATAACCATGAGGAACTAAACCCACCCTTAAACCACCGGGATAATTATCTAGATATTTGTGAGGTCTGAGAGCATATTACATTTCCAGTAATAGTCTACATGTAAACTGGCAAATAAACCTTTGTCGTAAACAGAGATTGTTATTAATAACTTTATTGTAAAATAAATCGTTGGTTTAAAATATAAAAAAGTGAATGCTGAAAAAGTTTTCTTTAAATATTTTTGTTTTCTGTAAGAGGAATTCACTAGCACACTCAAGTAGTTTTCGAATTTCATGTCACAATCGTCAATAATAAAACGTATTACTGTAACCAAACATAATGAAACATAACCTAACCACCTCTCCAAATCTTACCCTAAAATAACCATTACCTAATGATGGGGAGAGTAATTGTAGCATTAATTATACACGATAATAGCACTAATTATGTAGTCGTTTCGAATCAATTACCTTGAGCGGGTCTCCTCCCCGATGACAGGTTGAATAGTACATCATATTTCAACCATTGGGATTTCGACGTTAAGATGCAATGTATTATTTGTGAGGACAGGTTGGTGAGTGAACACTCTTAACCAGGCCTCAGGCCATAATATATACGTGCTTAATATTTAAAGGTATTTCCACAGCAGCCTAGCAATTAGAGCATCGTATCGAATGCAACTTTGCTATTTTCTAATTAAAGTTAAGAAGAATATGAGTGTTTCATCTGGGTAATTAATAGTAGTGAGTGGGACGTTCATCATTGATAATTTCCCTAGCATACTTTTTGAGAAAAGTGTATTGTTCCAGTGATTAGAGCTATATATAACATTGAACCCAAGTGGTGAGTGCAATTTGATAATGACAATTGTCTTCGCTGGGAACAGTAGCCTGGTGGATAGTACAAGAGTTGTTTAGTGGGTTCAAGGGCCGGGTGGTAGGTTGAAGAGTCAAGTGGAAGGTACAGGAGACCGTAGTGAGTACAGAACGCCAGGTTGAGAAAAATAGGTGCCAGGTGGTGGGTTAAAATGACAGACGGTACAGATGTCAAATGGTGGATACGGAAGCCTAGGGGGAAGTACATGGAACAGATGGAGAGTAGTTGAGGTAGGTGGAACCGAAGGTAGCCGGGTGGAGGAGCCAGGAGGTGCCTAGGTGAGGGAGGGGCCGGGAGGTGAGTGGAGATGCAGACCAGGAGTCGGGTGGCGGCTGTCACGCCACACGGCCATTAGCGAGCCCTCGTTTCCTGCGGCTTATTTTCTGCAGTGCCTTTACGTTATTATACGTCTCTTTCTATCACTGTCGATTATAGCATTCATAACCGATAAAATATCACAGGTGCCGATAATAAACAAAATTACACGTTGGAAATTTCGTAGGGAAAGACTACGAGTGTAACCAATGACTTTCCACTGCTATTGGCGCCCTTTTTGTATCTGTGATGCCACAGTGTCCCGCCGCACCCGCACAGTGGCGTCCCGGCCCGCCGCGCCCCCACAGTGGCGTCCCGGCCCGTCGCGCCCCCCACAGTGGCGTCCCGGCCCGCCGTGCCCCCAACAGTGGCGTCCCGGCCCGTCGCGCCCCCCACAGTGGCGTCCCGGCCGCCGCCCCCCACAGTGGCGTCCCGGCCCGTCGCGCCCCCCACAGTGGCGTCCCGGCCCGTCGCGCCCCCACAGTGGCGTCCCGGCCCGTCGCACCCCCCACAGTGGCGTCCCGGCTCGCCGCGCCCCCACAGTGGCGTCCCGGCCCGTCGCGCCCCCCACAGTGGCGTCCCGGCCCGTCGCGCCCCCCACAGTGGCGTCCCGGCCCGTCGCGCGCCCCACAGTGGCGTCCCGGCCCGTCGCGCCCCACAGTGGCGTCTCGGCCCGCCGTGCCCCCCACAGTGGCGTCCCGGCCCGCCGTGCCCCCAACAGTGGCGTCCCGGCCCGCCGTGCCCCCAACAGTGGCGTCCTGGCCCGTCGCGCCCCCCACAGTGGCGTCCCGGCCCGCCGTGCCCCCCACAGTGGCGTCCCGGCCCGTCGCGCCCCCCACAGTGGCGTCCCGGCCCGTCGCGCCCCCCACAGTGGCGTCCCGGCCCGCCGTGCCCCCAACAGTGGCGTCCCGGCCCGCCGCGCCCCCCACAGTGGCGTCCCGGTCCGTCGCGCCCCCCACAGTGGCGTCCCGGCCCGTCGCGCCCCCCACAGTGGCGTCCCGGCCCGTCGCGCCCCCCACAGTGGCGTCCCGGCCCGTCGCGCCCCCCACAGTGGCGTCCCGGCCCGCCGCGCCCCCCACAGTGGCGTCCCGGCCCGCCGCGCCCCCCACAGTGGCGTCCCGGCCCGCCGCGCCCCCACAGTGGCGTCCCGGCCCGCCGTGCCCCCAACAGTGGCGTCCCGGCCCGTCGCGCCCCCCACAGGCGTCCCGGCCCGTCGCGCCCCCCACAGTGGCGTCCCGGCCCGCCGTGCCCCCCACAGTGGCGTCCCGGCCCGCCGTGCCCCCAACAGTGGCGTCCCGGCCCGTCGCGCCCCCCACAGTGGCGTCCCGGCCCGCCGCGCCCCCCACAGTGGCGTCCCGGCCCGCCGCGCCCCCACAGTGGCGTCCCGGCCCGCTGCGCCCCCACAGAAGCGTCCCGGCCCGCCGCGCCCCCCACAGTGGCGTCCCGGCCCGCCTGTGAGGCCCCTCTGGTAACTGGCGGTCACAAGAAGCATCACGAAATAGATATTAAAGGCAATTACATCTGAGGGGAAATTTGTTTTGTCTGTTGTGTGGGGCAGGGAGCACTGCAGGAGCAGGGAGCACTGCAGGAGCAGGGAGCGCCGCTGGTGCAGGGAGCGCCGCTGGTGCAGGGAGCGCCGCTGGTGCAGGGAGCGCCGCTGGTGCAGGGAGCGCCGCTGGTGCAGGGAGCGCCGCTGGTGCAGGGAGCGCCGCTGGTGCAGGGAGCGCCGCTGGTGCAGGGAGCGCCGCTGGTGCAGGGAGCGCCGCTGGTGCAGGGAGCGCCGCTGGTGCAGGGAGCGCCGCTGGAGCAGGGAGCGCCGCTGGTGCAGGGAGCGCCGCTGGTGCAGGGAGCGCCGCTGGTGCAGGGAGCGCCGCTGGTGCAGGGAGCGCCGCTGGTGCAGGGAGCGCCGCTGGTGTAGGGAGCGCCGCTGGTGCAGGGAGCGCCGCTAGTGTAGGGAGCGCCGCTGGAGCAGGGAGCGCCGCTGGTGCAGGGAGCGCCGCTGGTGCAGGGAGCGCCGCTGGTGTCGGGAGCGCCGCTAGCTGGTGCTGGGAGCGCCGCTGGTGCAGGGAGCGCCGCTGGAGCATGGAGCGCCGCTGGTGTTCGGAGCGCCGCTGGTGTAGGGAGCGCTGCTGGTGCAGGGAGCGCCGCTGGTGCAGGGAGCGCCGCTGGAGCATGGAGCGCCGCTGGTGCAGGGAGCGCCGCTGGAGCATGGAGCGCCGCTGGTGCTGGGAGCGCCGCTGGTGTAAAGAGCGCCGCTGGTGTAGGGAGCGCCGCTGGTGTAGGGAGCGCCGCTGGTGTAGGGAGCGCCGCTGGAGCATGGAGCGCCGCTGGAGCATGGAGCGCCGCTGGTGCTGGGAGCGCCGCTGGAGCATGGAGCGCCTCTGGTGCTGGGAGCGCCGCTGGTGTAGGGAGCGCCGCTGGTGTTGGGAGCGCCGCTGGTGAAGGGAGCGCCGCTGGTGAAGGGAGCGCCGCTGGTGGGAGCCGCTGGTGCAGGGAGCACTGCTGGTGCAGGGAGCGCCGCTGGTGCAGGGAGCACTGCAGGAGCAGGGAGCGCCGCTGGTGCAGGGAGCACTGCAGGAGCAGGGAGCGCCGCTGGTGCAGGGAGCGCCGCTGGTGAAGGGAGCGCCGCTGGTGAAGGGAGCGCCGCTGGTGAAGGGAGCGCCGCTGGTGAAGGGAGCGCCGCTGGTGAAGGGAGCGCCGCTGGTGAAGGGAGCGCCGCTGGTGAAGGGAGCGCCGCTGGTGAAGGGAGCGCCGCTGGTGAAGGGAGCGCCGCTGGTGAAGGGAGCGCCGCTGGTGAAGGGAGCGCCGCTGGTGAAGGGAGCGCCGCTGGTGAAGGGAGCGCCGCTGGTGAAGGGAGCGCCGCTGGTGAAGGGAGCGCCGCTGGTGAAGGGAGCGCCGCTGGTGAAGGGAGCGCCGCTGGTGAAGGGAGCGCCGCTGGTGAAGGGAGCGCCGCTGGTGAAGGGAGCGCCGCTGGTGAAGGGAGCGCCGCTGGTGAAGGGAGCGCCGCTGGTGAAGGGAGCGCCGCTGGTGAAGGGAGCGCCGCTGGTGAAGGGAGCGCCGCTGGTGCAGGGAGCGCCGCTGGTGCAGGGAGCGCCGCTGGTGAGGGGAGCGCCGCTGGTGAGGGAGCGCCGCTGGTGCGGGGAGCGCCGCTGGTGCGGGGAGCGCCGCTGGTGAAGGGAGCGCCGCTGGTGAAGGGAGCGCCGCTGGTGCAGGGAGCGCCGCTGGTGAAGGGAGCGCCGCTGGTGCAGGGAGCGCCGCTGGTGAAGGGAGCGCCGCTGGTGAAGGGAGCGCCGCTGGTACAGGGAGCGCCGCTGGTGCAGGGAGCGCCGCTGGTGCAGGGAGCGCCGCTGGTGAAGGGAGCGCCGCTGGTGCAGGGAGCGCCGCTGGTGCAGGGAGCGCCGCTGGACCTAGTGTTTCATACCGAGTAGGTTTCTATGTCCATTCAATTTAGCGTCCAACTCTCGTAGTAATGTTACACTTTGTTTAAACCTATTTTATTCGTTTTTCAATGGAATAAATTTTTAATATTTTCATTACTTGTTTTCATTAAATTTTTAATATTTTCATTATTCTCATTACTTGGGAGGAGTTGCAATATAAAAAACTTCCATCAAAATAAATGTTTGTAGAGAGACGAATACTTCTTAATATGACAAAAAAAAATCTGTATTTTGGCTGCTGTATAAAATGTTTAAAAAAAAATCTGTTAAGTTACATTCAGATCAGAGAGTTGTTGATGATAAGTGCATGTGAATATATATTAGTAAACGTTCTCAACCCAACTATAAGCCCAGTTGGATTGAAAAGGTATATGCAATATTTTCACCTTTCAAATGGGATTTATTCTGCCTTAATGTGATCATCGATTATTGTTCATTTCGTGCATATTAAATGTATATATTATATATATATATATATATATATATATATATATATATATATATATATATATATATATATATATATATATATATATATATTGGTAGCAGTCTTTCTTGTAAACATATGTTCTTAAATATGACCGAAAAAGTAAGATTAATAATTCTAACACGAATTTTCTCAATATTTCTTATGTTTCATTTTACTGTCGATGGTAATTGAAAACTCAATTCTCCAAAATTCCTTTTTATTTCTAGTCTGACGCGACGCTTGAACGCATTTCGTAATAACTTATTACATTTTCAAAGACCTTAGTTTACACACACACAACTGTAACCTGAAAACACTAAACAGAGTTTTACTTATGCTAACACTAAACAGCTTGTCTTATATACTCGCATTTGGGTGAGGTGATATGTTGCAACAGTTGCTACTTCACGCTACAAACCAATGGAGAAACAGCAACATCGACGAAAACCTCCGTACTCGTATCAAGCAACACCTCGACATCCTCACAGATCGACATCACCACAGCACCGAAACCAGGATAATCAAGAAACTAACAACATTATATGGAGGACCTATGGTGAATCCACGACCAAGAGATGGCTTCCTGAACCTTGGTGGAATTAACCTCACTGAGGACCAAGTTACTCTCCTAAATCTGGCTATAAACTGTCACGTTATGTCCAGACCAAGTGAGAGGCCCGGAAAGTGGAGTTGGAGATCCTGTTGGACGACATATTCGACCTCGAGACACAAAAGAAGGTCACACCAAAGACACCTTCCAAGCAGAACTAATTGCAGGAGGAAAGATTCGATGCAACTACAGAAGCACCATACTGTCCCACGAGCTCAAAGCGGCAGCTAAGAGCCTTCGTGAGAACAAGGAGATAGTCGTCAGGAGAGGTGACTAGTCGCCAATATACGTCATTCTTAAAAAAAGACGAATATCTGGCGAAAATGAACCTCATACTATCTGACCAAACTAAATTCCAAAGGGAAACAAAGGACACTACAGCCGAATTGAAAACAAAGGTAAACAGATTGTTCGAAACTGTGAACGCCAAGATATCCGGACTCCACCTGCCAAAGATTATTGGGGAATACAAACCTGGTTATGCGTATGGATATGTCAAGACACACAAACCTGGAAACCCACTTCGGCCAATCATCAGCCAGATACCCACACCCACGTACAGACTGGTGAAGTGACTCAACGGCTTGCTGACTCCTTATGTACCTTGTGCTTTCAGCCTGAAGTCTCCAAAGGAATTTGTTGACTTACTGTGGGGAACACGGGCCACAGGGATAAGAGCCTCAGTGGACGTAGAATCACTGTTTAGCAACGTACCTGTGGATGAAACAATCGGGATGATAGCAGTGTGTATCGTGATCCGGCCTGTACTCCTCTTGACATACCAGAAAGCATTCTAAGGAAACTACTCCAAGCTTGTACTAAAGAGGCACCCTTCTTGAGCCCTGATGGGCACATGTATAAGCAAGTAGATGGAGTTGCCATGGGTTCTCCCCTAGGCGTCCTGTTTGCAAACTTCTACATGGGTACCATCGAACAGAAGGTCTTAGTTGACATGAACTTGAAACCTGCCATATACTGCAGGTATGTTGACGACATTTTTACACAGGTACCTGATGTCAGACGTCTGCAGGAGCTGAAGGAGGCATTCGAGCAGAATTCTGTGTTGTTTAACTTACGAGATGGAGAAGGATGGGAAGCTGCCCTTTCCACATGTAACAGTCATGGAAAGGAGCGGAAGTTTCCACACTGCAGTCTACACCAAGGAAACATACATAGGAATGTGCCTCAATGCCAACAGTGACTGCCCAGACAGGTACAAGAGGAGTGTTATCAACGCTTACGTTGACCGTGCTCTCAGCCACAGCTCAGGATGGAAGCAAGTCGATGAAGAACTCTGTAGGGTAAGGCAGGTCCTAGTCAATAATGGCTTCTCCAATGGTTTCATTGAAGACATCATAAAAAGGAAGGTAAAACGTCATGCGCCCTCTGAAGAGTCAACTAACACAACACCTGTACCCCCTATTAGACTATTTTACAGGAACTTCTTTTCCACAGCTCATAAAACGGAGGAAATGGTCCTGAAAAATATTGTTGATTGAAACGTCATCCCTACAGACAAAAATCAGAAGATACAATTGACGATTTACTATAAAACCAAAAAAACGGCCAATCTACTCATGAAAAACTCTCCAGACACAAAGAAGAACGCCTTAAAGGATACCTGATGTCAGACTCAGATACCTGATGTCAGACGTCTGCAGCAGCTGAAAGAGGCCTTCAAGCAGAATTCTGTGTTAAGTTTCCCTTACGAGATGGAGAATGATGGGAAGCTGCCCTTTCTAGATGTAACAGTCACGGAAAGGAACAGAGAATTCCACACTACAGTCTACACTAAAGACACAAACATAGGAATGTGCCTCAGTACCAATAGTGACTGCCCAGAAAGGTACATGAGGCATGTTGTCAACGCTTACATCGACCGGGCTCTCAGTCACAGCTCAGGATGGAAGCAAGTCGATGAAGAACTCTGTAGTGTAAGGCAGGTCCTAGTTAACAATGGCTTCTCTAACAGTTACGTTGAAGACGTCATAAAAAGAAAGGTGAAACGCCATGCAATCTCTGAAGAGTCAACTAACACAACACTTGTACCCCCTATTCGACTGTTTTACAGGAGCTTCTTTTCGAAGGCCCATAAAACGGAGGAAAGTGTCGTGAAAGATATTATTAATAGGAACGTTATCCCTACAGACAAAAATCAGAAAATACAATTGACAATTTACTACAAAAACAACAAAACGGCCAACCTACTCATGGAAAACTCCCCAGACAACAAACAGAACGCCTTGAAGGAAACCAACGTCGTCTATGCCTTCACATGGCCACTTAGGGGGACTGTAAGCCCCAAAGAACTCAATATATAGGCAAGACAACAACGTCTCTTTCCAGGCGATTAACACTGAACAAACAACAGGGCTCCATCAAGGAATATATAATCTCTTCTCACAACCAGACCATCACCAGAGAAATTTTAACAAGCAACACTGAAATCATCGATACATACAGTGATAGCAGGACACTCGACATCAGCGAGGCACTACACATTAAAAAGTCAACACCAGCAATCAACAGCTAATTAATGCATAACTATATTCTACCCACTTCAAAACCCCGAACCAACATAGAAGCAGCAAGAGAACGTATGGGCCAATAGGCCTTCCGTAGTTACTTCCATTCTTATGTTTTCATACCCAATTTATACTCATTGATTCGTGTTCTGTCACCTCACCCAAAACTTTTGTTATATCACCTCACCCAAAACAAATAAAAGCATGATGTATGTTATGTGTAAACCAAGTCTTTGAAAATGTAAGAAGCCTTACGAAACGCTTTTAGGCGTCAGACCAAAAATAAAAATGTTAAAAATGAATTTTGGAGAGTTAATTTTTCCATTACCCTCGACAATAAAGAAAAACGTAAGAAAACGACACACATATTATATATATATATATATATATATATATATATATATATATATATATATATATATATATATATATATATATATATATATATATATATATATACACATATATATATATATAATGTCGTACCTAGTAGCCAGAACGCACTTCTCGGCCTACTATGCAAGGCCCGATTTGCCTAATAAGCCAAGTTTTCCTGAATTCAATATATTTTCTCAATTGTATATTTCTTATGAAATGATATTTATATACCCATTTCATTATGTATGAGGTAATGTTAGTTTTTTATTGGTTAAGACAGGTTAGGTTAGAGGGTTGGTTAGGTTCGGTCATATATCTACCTAGTTTAAACTATCTTTAAAAAAAATTAGGTTACATATGAAATGTTAGCTTTATCATTTCATAAGAAAAAAATGAAAAACAATTAATTCATGGAAAACTTGGCTTATTAGGCAAATCGGGCCTTGCATAGTAGGCAAAGAAGTGCATATCATAAATATATATATATATACATATATATATATATATATATATATGTCGTACCTAGTAACCAGAACGCACTTCTCAGCCTACTATGCAAAGCCCGATTTGCCTAATAGGCCGAGTGTTTTCATGAATTAATTGTTTTTTCGACTACCTAACCTACCTAACCTATTATAACCTAACATTTTATTGCTACCTAACCTAACCTAACCTATAAATATAGGTTAGGTTAGGTTAGGTAGGGTTGGTTAGGTTCGGTCATATATCTACGTTAATTTTAACTAAAATTA